GGGAGGAGGAGAGGGAGGAGGAGAGGGAGGAGGAGGAGGAGAGGGAGGAGGAGAGGGAGGAGGAGGAGGAGGAAGAGAGGGAGGAAGACGAGAGGGAGGAGGAGGAGAGGGAGGAGGAGAAGAGGGAGGAGGGCACTCACCCGGCTTGCACATGGTGAACTCCATGGCACCTCCCGAGTTGAGCAGCTTCTGGACCAGCGGCTTGGCCAGCATGGTGGGGGTGAAGAGGACGGGCCGGCGGCGCTCACAGTAGAAGGCGCGCACCAGGCTGTAGGGGATCAGGCTGAGGCTCTTGCTGAGCTCACTTTCCGGGTCCAACTCTGGGAGGGGACAGGCAAGGGCTGGCTGTGACACCCAGCCTGCCCGCCTTCCCAGGCGCCTCCCTGGCCTCATGGAGCCTGCAGGGCCAGCAGGGATGTTTACGGAGGAACCCACGGGAGCTGAGGCCACGGCCCTGCTGCCTTGTGCTTGCACTCAGGGAGTGGCGGTGGCAGGGGGCAGGTAGGCACGTGGCGAGCTGCACTCCTCACTCTGGGCTGCAGTGCTGAGCTCTCAAGGAGGGGGGCTGCTGGACAGGCAGGGAGGGCTTCTCTGAGGACCGTCAGGGACTGGAGCGGCGCTCAGAGAGGAGCCAGGCGAGGAGAGCCAGAGGAGGGTGGTCTGGGTGGAGGGGCGCGCGGGCGTAAGGAGCCTGCAGGGCTGCAGGAGCCCACGCGGGGGCAGAGCCGACTGAGGGGCTTGGGCTCATGTCAGGAGCTCTGGGGAAGCCAGCAAGGCTGGAGGTGGGGAGGGACACGGCCTCCTTTCCACCTTTCTGAGCCCCTCTGGCTGGTGTGGGGGGGGGAGCAGAGCAGAGCCCGCCCCAGGCAGCTTGAGGAACTGCGCCCCCTCCTGCCCCAGAAACCAGTCTTATCTTTTGCTTCGTGCCCCGACCTGGCTGTCCAATGGGCCGGTCTGGACGGGAGCCCAGGCCCCCTGACCATGGGTGCCCGGGCCAGCCTGGCCCCCCGAGGATGGCAGGAGGGCCGGCCGGCCATCAGCAGGCCCTTACACAGGGGCTGTGTGGCCGGCAACCCCTGGCCGCCTTGATAAATGGCAAGAAACAGGCAGTGGGGAAGGAAATCAATAAGTGCACGCTTCACAGCAAGGAGCTCCAATTAACATGGGCATCTGGGCTCCATCCAACGACGGTGAGAGCTCGCTAGGGGTGGACCTGGTGAGATGCCACCGGGAGGCTGTGTGCCTCCCCCTCAGTCAAGGCCAAGGCCAAGGTCAAAGCCAGGCAGCTCCTCCGCGGGTGGAAGCCCTCTTTTGAGGGAGCAGGTCCCAGTCCCTGTAGTGGGGACCCCAGCAGCTGCCAGACCAGCGGGAGGTGGGAGGGGCCAAGGGTCAGGTGCCAGCACCTACCTTCCTGCTTGTCGGTTAAAAGCTTGGCGGCGTCCAGCGAGGAGCGGGCCAGGCTCCCCAGGGGACTTCCGGAGACAATACGGACTCGCTCATTGCTATTCATTCTCTTGTACTTGTTCTCAGACCTGCTGACGAACTGAGGACAGACAGACAGCCTGTGCTTCAAGCTCGACCCAGCTGCTTCACTCAGGGCACCGGCAGACCTCTGCTGGGACCCAAGCTCTGCCCTGGGTGGCCAGGGTCAGTCACTCTCCCACCGTAACAACAGGCGATGTCGAGCAGGCAGAGAGGGGACACCGTTGCAGGTAAGTAGGCAGACAGACGCCCACTCTCTCTCCCTAACCAGGCGTGAAGCCTGCCGAGGGCTGGGGTGTGGGGGGGGCCTGGTCCCCGAGCCCTCGGGCTCCTTGTACAATTCAGAGTTGAGCCTTGGAGGGTGGAAAGGGAGGCCCCAGGGGTGGACACAGAATCCAAGTTCCCGCCATATTCCCTGGGCTGCTCTGAGTCTGTCCACACCCTCCTTCTGGAGGCAGGGGAACCCAGGAATGCTAATCAACGTACCTTGTGTAATGATTCATGCAAAAAAAAATTCATTATAGAATTAAGCACAAGGGATAAGTTTTCTCTGGTCCCAAAGAGCTACAACGTATCTGTGGTTGGATAAGATTTAAAGAATCTGTACGGTTTCACTTTTCTCCTCAGCTACTGGGATGCTCAGAGATAAATTCAGTGCTCAGTCTGAGGAGCTACACTGACCTGGACATGTGCAATGTTTGTTTTCTTCTCCTAACATACCATTTCTGATTTTTCTCTAATAGCTAACTTGTTTAAATTCTTTCAGCCATGAGTTCCTCAAATCTTTTACCAAAGTGGGGCTGCTTCTGACAGAAGTATAGCCTGTCTCCCGATCTATCACGGTGAGGATAAAACAGGGTGGGGGATGTGAGGTACTGCAAGAGGCCACAAGTGGGATACAGACACCAAGCACCATTTTGAAAAAGTCTTCTCAGCAGGAGGAGAAAAACATGACCACAGCAAAATGTGACCACCACGTGGGTCGGCACTCTGTAGAACTTTACCTGGAGGAGTTGGCCGAAGAGGAAACTTGCCCGAGAGAGGCGGGGACTGACCCGGGGGTCACTGGTGGAAACTGGCTCCTCAGGCTGCAAGGTGTTCTGAAATCAGTGAGCAGTTGGTCAGATGCGCTGGGCTCAGCAGGACGCATGAGCCCAGGAAGGCTGCTGAGAACCACAGACACGTCCTCAAGCCGCCTCAGTGCTAAGGGGTGGGGCAGTGCCAGTCATGGACTCGGAGCCTTCCAGATAGGGAGAGAGCTTGGAGGGTAAGAGGAGCCCCGAGACTTGTGGCAGAGACCAGAGACACAGCTGGGGGTGGGGCTCCTTCTGGAGGGGACCGTCCCATTCCTGAGGAACCAAGGCCCCTGAAGATGTTAGTGGCTCCCACGTGTCAGGCCTCTGGAAACGAGCCTGGGGGTGGTGTGACACGGGCAAGGCTGCCGCTGACCTACCCGGAGGGCCCTCAGGGTGTGGTGGGTGCCGTCTGCCTCCTCCCGGCTGCCCCGGTGCATCAGGCGCTGCAGCTTGACGAGGAGGAGCTGCTGGGCTCTGGGGGGACGGGAGGGAGGCGGCGAACATCAGGGCAGGGCCTGGGGAGGCCGGTGCCAGCCTGCCCCTCTGCCTCCTGGGGAGGGGGGCTCCCCCCAGGAGGACAGGAAACCCAGCAGCTGGGCATGGATACTGTAGCCAGTGCTGGAGAGGCAAAGTTGCTCCTCTGGGCCTCAGTTTCCTCACCTGTAGATCAGGGCTGCTGATTCTGACCTCCCAGGACCAGCCTGAGCAGCAGCATTAGTCTACAGGTGCCTCCCAGGTGTCTGCCTCGTCTAGTCAGATGAAGGATGACGTGCCACTGCTCCATAATTACGGAAGGGCGTCAGGGAGGTGGCCCAGGTAAAAGCAATGACCAGCAAGGGGGCGTAAAACCGAGAGCCCAGTATTCTACAGCGATGGCCGTGAGAGGCTGCCTGGGCATTAGTGAAACAACAGGATCTAAGGGAGTAACATCCCTGGGGAGGCAGGGGAGGCTTCCAGGAGGAGGAGGAAACAGGCAGGCCTCAGCTGTCAGTGGGCATGGATCCCCTGTGAGCCCCTCTGCTGCCCGGCACCCCTGCCCTGGAGCAGGCCATGGCCTCACCGGCTGTAGCTGGGTATGGTGCCCACGTCCAGGTCATAGTCGGTGAAAGGGTCGACCCGCGCGCACAGCCACTCGTGCCTGTCCTGGTACATGGTGTCGCGGACGTGCACCACGTCATCGCACTTGAGGGACATGGAGCAGGCATCCAGCTGGCTGGAGATGTTCAGGTTCAGCCGGATGTAGAACGAGTCCCCAGATGTGATCAGGCCCTCCTCCATGTCCTTCAGAAGCTTCCGGTACCCTGCAGGAGCAGAGAAGGGAGAGGGAACACCAGCTGTGGGTCAGGGGGGAGGGGGGCTCCGCTGCCAGGCCCCTCCTGGTGCAAATCCATCGATCACTGCCCACAGGGGACATGTGCTTGTGGTGCATTCCCCTCGGGGCTCACAGGACTCCCTGCGATGACTGGGGGGCTGTGTCCTTCATGGGTTTCTCTCTTTGTCTTGGCTGCCAGGGAGCTCAGAGCTAAGCTCTGTGCCAGGGTGCAAGAATCCAGGGTCTCCACTACAGCAAATGAATTTGAGGTCTTCGCTCCATTGAAGGAACCCAGGGTCCCCCATAGAGTGAACCGTTCGGGGGCTCTGCTGCTACAGCCGAATCCGGAGTTTCCTATAGGGCGATTGAATCTGGGGTCTCTGCTACAGCGAGCCAATCCCGGATCTCCATTACAGAGAAGGGATACGGGGTCTCTGTTACAACGATCTCTGTTACAACGAATGAATCCAGGGTCTCTGCTACAGCCAACAAATTCGGGTCTCTGCTACAGTGAATGAATCCGGGGTCTCTGCGACAGAGAAGAATCCAGGGTTTCCGCTGCCACTGCCATGCCCTCCCAGCACCGTGGTGAGTGTGTTGTCTGACTGTGGCAGGACTGGGCGCAGTCCTCATCCTTCATATGTGCTGCACTCGACGACGCGCTCTCGCCAGCGCACACCCCTGGGCCACCGCCGCCCAGGACCTCCCTCTCACGGCCGCTTGGGGAAGACCAGTCTGGGTGCTGCCGTCCCGCCGACCGTGACCCCGTGAGTCACAGGGCCGCGCCGTGCCTCGCCCAGTAGAGGGAGGCACACGGCCGCGCTCCTCTGGGTCAGCCTCCGCAGCTCGCGGAAATCGACACTCCACACGGCATCCCTGGCAGGGGTCTCCCGGGTGCACACGTGTCCCTTCTCTGGTGAGTCCGCGCTGCTGACAGGTTTCGGCTTTGCCGGCTCCCTCTGCCGTCACACTCCTCTAGGGCCTCAGGTGGGCGGAGCATTCCCTTCCCCAGGCTCTCCTCACAGCAGGGGGTGGTTACTGGGTCCTTGATGTTTGGCTTTCCTAGCCGCTCCCAGAGGTGCTCCCACGCGGTGGGGCCACGGCACGTGTTGTTTTAACCTTATTCAATGTCACGTTCCTTCAGTGTAAGTTTCTACAAAGCCTGCTGGAAGGACACGGGGCCTACACCTCCGATACAACAAATGCTGCAGACGGACCCTCTGTAACGTTCCTGAATGTAACCCCAAATCCGCCCCATGTGCACCGAGCTGCATAGCGCAGCAGAGGCGGAAATCACCCCAACAGCCAGGCCCAGGATGTCCATGCCACACACACCAGGGAGGCTTGAACCCGCAGGGCCATCTGATCAATGACCCCAGGGAGAGATGGGGTCAGGTCCTTCCCACTCCCCTGGTGGGGGTTAAGGCCTGTCGCTATCTGAACTCTCTGCCCCTTCAAAGAAAGGCCCTACAAATGGAACCCTGAGAGGCGGGACCTTTCATGCACTGCATTCAGACCACGGGACTACAACTCTGGGGGGCACTGCTGGCCTGTGTGCAGACCAGAGACTTTGACTGGGCTAGGAAACCAGGCTGGGAAGAGAGGAGGAGCCTGCGCCTGGTGGGAGGAGGAGGGGGAAGGGGAGGAGGAGGAGGAGGAGGGGAGGAGGAGGAAGAGAGGAGGAGGGACGGTGGAGGGGAGGAGGGGGAGGAAGAGAAAGAGGAGGAGAATGGGAGGAGGGAGGGGAAGAGAAAGAGAAGGAGAAGGAGAGGAGGGGGAAGAAGAGAAGAAAGGGGAAGAGAAGAAGGAGGAAGAAGGGGAGGAGGGGGAGAAAGAAGTGGATGAGGGGGAGGAAGAAGAGGAGGAGGAGGAAGAAGGGGATGAGGAGGAAGAAGGGGAGGAGGATGAAGAAGGGAAGAAGGAAGGGGAGGAGGGAGAGGAGGGGAAGCTGGGCCCTGTGTGTGGGGACAGAGCATCATTATCTTTTCCGCCCAGGGCCGCAGGGAAGGCGAGCAGGTGAGCATGAGTCCGTGGGGAAGGGCTAGAAAGAAAGTGGCTATTTATGCTCCGCTGAAACATTCATGAGCCTGGTGCTTAAAAATAAGATCCAGCTGCTGGAAGAATCACGAGGGAAAAACGCAGAGGTGAGGCTGAGGACGGAGACTTTGGGAAAGGGAAGACAGAGCCTGGTGCTCACGGCCCAGAGGTCGTGGCCAGGAAAGAGGAGCTGCCACGAAAGTGCTGCTGAGGTCGGATGGGGGCAAGGCCCTCTGGAGGCTGTCCTGGAGCCACGACCACAGAGCCGAAGGTGTGGACCAAGCTGTGGCTCAGCAGTGTGCTGGTGCCTGAGCGAGCGGCCACCCCAGAGTCCCCACCTATGTCAGGGCCAGGACGTAAGCTCCAACCCGGCAGGGAGAGGAGGAAGCTGGGCCAGGCAGGGAGGGGGCCTGCCTCTCCTGCCTGGTCTGGCAGTCCGCATGTGGCCCGGCATGCCACTCCCACCAAGGTGTGGTGGAACAGACATGTGCTCTCCTGCACTTACCCTCATCCGCCCTTTCCCCGCCTGCTGCCCCGTCTAATGGGGCCAGGACCGGCGGGCTCCTCCCACTGAACAGATGGGTGAGTGGAGAATGCTGTCCAGGGCCCCACGCATGTCCGGGGTGCTGCTGGGGAGCAGGATGTCTCGCGGCCTTACCTTCCTGGTTGGCCTTGTACTGTAGTTTGATGGAGCCGCTGCACCTCTGGATGGTCCAGTGCACCTCCTCCTTCGTGCACGCATCGAGGGGGACACTCTGCTTCTCGCCTCTGATGCAGCCTTCCAGCTAGATGGCAGAGACACGCTACTGTTTGCCATGGCACGGAGAGCTGCGGGGGTGGGGGGGCTGCCCCCAGGGACACAGAGCACCTCCCCCCAGACAGCAACGAGCTCAGCGCCGCTCAGAGCAAAGGCAGCAGCCCACTTACGCTCATTCCCCCTCCCCCTTCTGTGTGCAAGTGTGTGTGCCAGAGTGCGCACGAGTGAGGCCCTTCCGAGGCAAGGGCCCAGATGGACACCAGCTTTGCTGTCCTCCCACCTCCCGGCTTGAGCGCAAGGGGTAGAGGAGGTAGGGAAAGCCGCGGGCACCCTGGCTGTGCCACCCCGCCCTGCCCCCCAGCCCCTCACCACCAGCAGCTGGTGGCCCTCGCGGAGGCCAACTCTCTCGGCTTCGGAGCCAGGCTTGACCGAGTGCACGAAACTGCCTCGAGCGTTGCCCCCGAGCAAGGTGAGCTGGGAGGTGAGGCTGTCGCCGTTGAGCGTGGCTTGCTGCACTGAGGGCCCGGGGCCCCGCACGTGCCCCACAGACGTGACGGACGGCCGGAAGGGTCTGCGGCGGGAGAAAACCATGGTTAGAGCGCTGTGATGGGACGCCCTTCGGCGTGGCCGGTTCCTGTGGCAGGGAGCCATGGGAGCAGACACCCAAGAGGAGGGAGAGCGAGTGGCGCCTGCTGGGAGGACACGGGTAGAGCAGAGCTGACCCTCGACTGGCTGCAGCGGCCACACGGAGCTCAATGGGCCATGGGAGGTGACACGCCGGTGCACCACCTGCAGGGGCTGGGCTGATGAGGGCAGGCCGGCCACTCTGCTCCTCCCAGACACCAGCCCACCGGTTGCCCACATCTCAGGTGGGGCTGGGACCGTCGGACACAGGGTGCTGCTCCCTGGCCTCTAGCACGCTGTGTGGCGCCAGGCCAGCCCCCTCCTCTCTGGGCCCGATCAGGGGTCCGGGGGGAGGTGGTTTCTGGCTTGGGGACACTAGGATTCCTGGACTGTGGTTCTAGAACACAGGTGAAGTGGATGGGTGCTTTCTGGGCACCCTAGCAGGGGAGTGGCCTTTACCCCACCACCCCTACCCCTGACTCCGGCTCCCCCCTCCGGAGACCACAGTACCTTTCTAGAGAGAACTTCCTAAACATGAGGTTGACCTGCTCCAGGTCGTAGGCGTCCAGGCCCTCAGACTGGTGGGAGGAGGAGGAGGAGTGGATGGATGAGGGGCCATAGGAGCAGTGCTCGTGACTGTCGTCTGCAAAGGAGCCGGTGCACATGAGGACGGTGCTTTTGAAAGGGCTCCGTATTTTCATCCTGGGGCCCCCTTGGGTCTTACCACCTATCCTTCTAGGCCTGTGGGATGGGGGTGGGGCCCGAGGAGCAGAGTCTGCACCCAGCGCAGAAGCCCCCTCTTCCCAACTTGGCGGGACCGGAGGCCTGGGGGGTAAGGATGCCCAACCCCGCTGGGCTCAGGCGCTGGGGGGGAAGGGGGGGCTGCGCAAAGCCGGCTCCACGCTGATAACAAAGGCTTCTCTGCAAAGGGGGTTTGTCCTGACGCTGCAGAACGCCTTGGACGGCTGCCCAGAATTGGATTTCGCTTTCCAGCTCTCCCCTTCCCCAAACTCCTTCAATTCTTCTCATTACCCAGCTTCTATTAGGTGCTAACCTCTCTTTAACACTTGATAGCTTCTGATGGTTTCCAGTTAGGGAGAAGGGCTAATCCTTCATTTTATCTGCCGGCAGCCTGAGCTGCTGAGGGGCAGAGGCAGGGTCGGGCCCCCCGGGACGAGGGGGCTGGTGGGCCATCCCCGGAGGACTCTGGGCCAGACTCAGGAGGAGCAGGGGGACCACTATCTCCAGGAGGGAATCTCTCCGGCTCCTCCGTCTTCTGCCCGCACAGCCCACTGGTTCATAGCAGTACTGCCCGGTGTCAGCCAGGGCAGGGATTCGGGGACACGAATCTCTTTGTCCCGTGCACCGGGCGTGGTGAGATGCAGGGGCTGGGGGGGTGGATCTCAATGTGGCCTGAGCTGAACTGGACGCCCTGGTTGTACGGGGCCATGGCTCCCTGGAGACCCAGCCGTCCTTCCCGGCTCTCTGCCTGTCTGTCACACCAGCTCTGCTGGGGTGGGGGGTGGGGGGCGTTTCGGGGTTGCCTCATACCCTCAGTCTCCCCGGGGCTCCCCTCTGATGTCAGAGGAGGACAAACCTCACTGCCGCCCCACCTCCTTTCCCGCCCCCTCCCCACTGCTACTCCTGGTCTCGTTGGGTTTGGACAACAGCTTCACACAGAGATTTTGGAGGCCTCCCTGCCCACCCACATTCTGCATGCCTCTAGCTCTCCCCGGCTCTGGTCCCTCATCAGCAAGAGAAGAGGGATGGTGGCCTTTCCGCAAAAGGTTGTTGCCGGTTCAACTCTCTTAAAACACCCAGAACTGACGGACTCTGGGCTCAGCAGCTGCACAGCCCCCTCCCCACCCCAGGCCCGAAGCTCCCCAGGGACGGAGGCCTGGCCCCTGGGTGCACACACTGGCCTCTTGAAAGCCACACCACACGCAATTCTGAGGACCTGCAAGGCGCAGGGCTCCCACAGGAGCTGGAGGGTTGAGGGAGTGGGCGACATGGCCCTGCTCCCGCCAGTGGCAGGTGGCCCACACCTGTTCACCTCTGAGACCTACCATCAAAGTCTAAGGCATCGAACCCGCCACTGTCGTTGTCTTCTTCGACAGCGCTGCAAGACACGAGGGAGGGGCAGGGGGTCGTGTGGGTGCGTGGAAGCTCTCTGGGCCGAGTGCAGTGGTCGAGGGAGGGGGAAGATTCTGGAATGTTCTGACTTTCCTAGAGACCGTGGTTTTGAGGGCAGCATGGGCAGGAAGGGAAGGGCAGCAGGTGCATGGAGGGCTGGATGCCCTGCTGGAGGGCACAGGGTCCCAAGCATCCAGCGGAGGCCCCTGAAGGGCAGGTGAGCAGTGGCCCTGACAGCCCCACCTGCTACTTCTCACTCGCTCTGTTGTTCCTGACCCGGGACTGAACGTCCACTTGTGCTCAGGCTGCCTCATGTGATGGGCCTCAAGCGGAGCGTGCCCCTCTGACAGGACAGGATGGGACGGGAGGCTTCAGGCCTCCTCATCTGTAAAGCGGGTGGCATCCTGTCTGCCTTCCGAGGTCGGGTCCAGGGCTGCTGAGCGAGCGATTGTGGAGGGGCCCGTCTCCCCTCTTCCATCCCGTCACCCACCTCCGGTGAGGCGCGTCTTCCTTATAGCGCCTGACAATGGAGTCGTTGCCGGGGGGCTCGGCGGTGATGGACATGATGCTGGAGCGGCTCCGGTGCGGCTGCTTAGAGACACACGTGGGGCTCTGGGGGGCCGTGCCTCCGCGCCAGACATTAAACACACGGGGACGGAATCTAACTGGAAGCGCCCCCCACGCAGGCAGGCGGGCCGGCATAGCTGGCTCTCAGCAGTGACCCTGGCCAGAGAAGGCCTGTGCTCAGCCTGGGGTGGCCACAGCGGAGCTTGTGCACAGCTCCTCGCACATCTGCTCGCCTCGGGAGAGGATGGGGAGGGCACAGGCGGGAGCCCACAGAGACTGGGGCTGCCGGGGGCGGGGGGGTGGGGTGGGCAGGGGCTTGCAGCTTATGCAGGCTGAGCTCCATGGCCCCCAGGGCTGCACCAGCCTTGAGCACCGACTCTGGACGAGAGGCAGACCTGTGGGCCTCACGCTGGTGGCAGCAACAGATGTCCCCAGGCAGTGTGGCTGCTGCATGGTGACCCTTTGAAACAGGCCTGCCGGCTCCTGGCAAGGGCTGCCTCGGAGAGGGCCCCTGGATCTGGCCCCCCAGAGTTGCAGCCAGACAGGAGCCATTCGTTATCAAACCTCGGCATCCCCAGGGCCAAATTCTGGAAGCTGAGCTGACAAGCTTCCCGGGGCTTCCCCTCCAGGGCTAGAATTTCTAATCCCACGCCTTCTGCTGCCTGCCTGGGGGAAGGATGCTGGATCCAGGGCGGAGACCCTGCCAGGTGGGCGGGGAGCCTGGGCCCTGCCCTGCGGTTGGCGGCTCCAGCTGCTCCAGCCTTGCGGGCTGCCCGAGGTGCCAGGGGCCCAGGACTTGGTAGAGTTTTCTGTCCCGCTTGTGCAATCTGCTATGGCTCCTCAGGGGCTCATCCCTTCCTCCCACCAAGTGTTAAATTGGGAAAGGAGGTGGTAAGAAGGTGTAAACACATCCTGAGGCTGTGGAAACATCCTTAAATAAACATAAGGAGGGCCTGCGTGGAAGAAGGCAAGGGGGCCGGGCCTGCTGGGGCAGACAAAGGCAGGGGGGCCCGGGTTCTGAGCCGGAAGGGGGTGTGCTGGGGACCTGGCTTACCATTTTGGAGAACGAGTTGGTGATGGGCAGGGATCTGGAGGAGCTGGGGCTGGCGTCCGTGCCTTCTTCTTCATGGCCTCGCCCTGTCCTCACAGAGACAGGAGGCAAAGGGGAAAGGCAGGGGAGAGGCACTGAGCACCGGCGGGCTGTTCTGGCCCAGTGGCCTGTCCTCTGAGGGAGCATGGGTGGCCGCCTCCTCCTTCCTGTCACCCCCAGCCGCAGGCTCCTGGAAGGGACTGTGGTCTTGCGCCCCAGTGGGTCCCGCCCTGGTGGCCTCGGTTGGGCCTGGACCGCGTCCTCTGTCTGAGAACTCCGGCCGAGGCCCCAGCTGGCGCTCTGTGGATTGGCAGGAGCACGTGGCTCTTGCAGAGCTGGAATGTCCCTGCCCCGTGACCCTGTCCTTGAGGCAGATCCCACCATCCCTGCTAGATGCGTGGCTGGATATAGGGGCCAAAGGGGGCAGTGTGTCACCTGCTCAGGACTCCCTGCACCCCTCCGGCTCCTTCGGGGGCTCACTGGGGCTCTGTGCACACTTGTTTCAGCCCTCGCCTTGCCGCACAGGACAGCCAGCCCTCCCGTCACCCCACATGCAGGTGCAGACGCGTGCGTGTGCCTCCATGTGGGGGCACCTTGAGGGGACGAACCCGCACCTCACGCTAGGCGCCAGCAAAGGCTTGGGAAGAGTCCAGAAGCTCCGTCACCTTGCCATCTCCTTTCCCTCTTCTTGAGGCAAACACTTCTCTATTCTTCCACATGCCCCAGGCCCTTGACACCTCCCTTCTGATAAAGGAGGTTCTAGAAATACTTGGGCTGGTGATGATAGGACTGGATAGGCCTCCCCTGCCCCCTGCAGACCCAGGAGGGCCATGGTTCCTGTCCTGTCACCTTCCACAGCCTTGTTCCTGGCACCCCCCCACTCCAAGCTCTAGAAGGGCAGCATGCCAAGGTCAACCCTGCCCCCGCTCCCCACTCTGTCCCAGGCACCCTTCCAGAGACTGTCTCTTCCTGACGGTCTTTGTCCAGCCCTCCTCTGTCCCCCCTTTCTTGAGTGTCCAGAGCCCCTCTCCCCTCCTCCCTGCTGGCCCTGCCTCAGAGCAGGGTCTCCGGGGAACCCACTTGGACCCCAGCTCTGGGCACACAGTAGGCACCTGATTTGCCCGAGCAAGCCCTCCCTGGCCAGCCATCACCCGAGAGGTGCAGGGAAGGTGGATGAGAGGATTCTGAAGATGGTGTGTCTTGGAGAAGCAGGCTCACGGATGGACCCAGATGGCCTGGCAGGGAGCCTGAGCCATGAGCAGGGGTCCCAAATCCGGCTGTGGGGTCAGGGGCTCGGGCCGACCTCAGTGGCTGTGTGTGTGTGTGACAGACATGACCCTTCTCTGTCTCAGCTCCTGCCCTCTCCCGTGACGATGGACGTTAATTACTGCGGGACACCCCTCCGCCCGGGGCCCCCAGGCCCATCCCAGGCTGACTGCACAGGATTGACAGTCACAAAGGGGAAAATGGACCAGGAGAAGCAGATGGACAGACAGAGAGACAGGAGAAGGGTCTGGGCGCAGCAACCTTGGAAATCCGAGGCTCGCTTCAGGCTGATGGGGGATTTGGCTCTCTGCAGCTGTGACGGGGGGACAGGAGAGGACAGAGAAGACAAATCAATCAAGGTCTGGGACGTGGGACAACGGACAGAGGGGACAGAACGAATGGAGGAAGGCATTTGACGCCTGCCCCCTCACCCTGCCCCCCTGGGAGGTGGCACCACGTGGCTTGGCTGGTTGTAGGGCTAACGGTGGGGTGGGGAGGGAAAGCGTGCCAGGGTGGGGCCCGCACAAGGGGAATTTTCAGGAAAGGATGGGGCTTTCGCCTTTGCCGGGCCCTTGGAGCTGGCACTTCCTAGGAGGCCTGCCCATGGTGCTGGCCCTCCCCTGTGACACCATCTCGTCCCCCCTCACATTGCGTGGAGAGCGAGCCGCGGATCGCAGTGTGCGCTGAATGGGGTGGCCAGCTTGGCTGTTGTTGCCGTTCCCAGATAACGCGGCTTTGTTCCCTCTCTCTAACCTCTACTAAGCTCGAGAGACGGAGGGCTCGGGAAAACAAGCTGAAGGGAACGCGAGATTTCCCCTGGCGCGGCAGGAGCAGGTGGAGTCGGCAGGGTCTGGGTCCCGGCTGTGTCCCCACTGGCCTGGGGGGGCCCCCAGCCCCTGCACCCCAACCCTGCAGCCCCTAGCCCCCATCCCACAGCCCCCACCCATGCGGCCTCCACCCCAAGGCTCCCAGCCCCACAGCTGCCACTCTCCACCTCTACGGCCCCTACCTTGGGGCCCCCATCCCACAGCCCCCACCCTCCAACTCAGGGCTCCCACCCCGTGCCCCCACCCTGTGGCCCCCACCCCATGTACCCACCCTGTGCCCCCACCCCGTGGCCCCCACCCCACACCCTTCTGTGTGCCCCTACCTGGATGCCCTTCAAATTCATCCTGCGCTTGGGTGGGTGGTAGGGCAGGAAGTATCTGCTGTCTTCTGGTGACTCCTCCGAGGTCGACGAGTCATCCGCTTCCTGACCGTTGGTCCTGGGGCTGGCGTCCCCGAAGTTCTGAGAGATGATGGCCACTGGCAGGTTCCTGGGCAGACTCTGGGGCGGAGGGAAGCCAGCGCCAGTGAGGCTCCCAGCTTCCAACTCAGCACGGCCCGCTCTTCTCCCTGACCCCCACGACCCCTCGGTGCCCAGGCTCGTGGTTCTGGCCCCGCCCGCTCCTCCTCACCAGCCTCCTGTCCCCATCTCCCTGAGGGGATGTCCCCCTGGCAGGTCTCGGCCCCCGGGGCCTGCTGTGCACTACAAACACAGAGCCTGTGGCTGAAGTAGTGTGGCCTGCTCTGGTGCCTCAGGCTGAGCTGCGGGGCAGTGACTCCCTCCCAGGTGCCCCTCAAATCCGCACACCCCTCATGCTACTGCCTCCAAACCCAAAGCTCTCTGCCTTCTTCACCACCTGCACAAAATCCGATGAGGTCCCTGAATAACCACAAGTGGCCAGAGCGCACGACTCCGGTACCTGCTGCCCCACCAGGGGCGTCTACTGCCCGCCTCCCCTCCCCTCCCATCACCACCTGCCACCAGCACGCTGTGTGGGAGCATTAAGGCCGTGGGTTATCCCGGGTGTGGCAGAGAAGGGCTTGCCCCTGCTTGGCCCCCAGAGGTGTGGGGGTGTGAAGGGAGGTCCCGGCTGCAGGAGGGGGGCACGCCCTGCCCGGCGCAGCCCCACCTGGTCGAGGCTGCCGCTGTCCTTGGACAGGCGCCGGAGCTTGCTCTCCAGGGTGACGATGCAGGCCTCTCGCCGGACCATCTCGATTCTCATCTCGTCATTCCTCTCCTCCAGCTCCCTGATCTGCTTCCTGTACTTGTCCTTCTCGATTAAGCACTGTGAGTACTGGGTCTGCGCTTCGTCCCGGGAATGGAAGGCCTGCGAGGGGTGGGGGGACAAGGCCGCTGTGGCTCCCTACCCCGCCTGCACCAACCACATCAGAAGCGGGCGTGCCCTCTGCCTGGACACCCACTTCCCAGCCCAGGGGTCCCCACGTCGGCTCCTGCTCTTTTCTTGACCCCAACTCTTGGGCGTTTAAATTGCTTCCTTCCTCAACAGGGTACAGGACTGGGGCACCTGGGGGGGCTCAGTCAGTTAAGCGTCCGACTCTAGCTCAGGTCATGATCTCACGGTTTGTGAGTTCAAGCCCCACGTCGGGCCTTCTGTTGTGAGTGCAGAGCCCACTTCGGATCTTCTGTCACCCCTCTCTCTGCCCCTCCCCTACTTGCTGCTCTCTCTCAAAAATAAACAAACATTTCTTAAGAAAGGGAAAAAAGACAGTGCATGTGACAGCTGCCATCTGTCCCACTGTTTCCAGGAGCCCACACCCTGCCCTGAGGAGGTGGTACTGCCCTCATTACTCCCATTTCACCAATGGGGGTCACAGAAGGGTGGGGCTTGCTGGAGCCACACATCTGATCAGTGACAGCCTGAAAGGAGGCTGTCTGACCCCAGGGAACAGGTGCCAAAGGACCCCGGAGCCTGGCTCAGGCCCTGCCCGTACCTGGTCCCGCTCGCGCTCCACCTCTTCCAGCTGCAGCATGACTGTGTTCATGCGGTGCTTGTACATCTCACAGTCCTTGCCCAGGGTCGAGCACTTCAGCTCCAGGTCCTCCTTCTCCTCCAGGTACTGTGCGCCGGGGGGGAGAGATGAGTGCTCGCACCATGTGCTCAGACCCCCGGTGCTGGCAGCCGTTAGCTCGTGTGCCCCCCTGCCAGCCGACTAGCCAGAGTTGGCCTGTACCTCACTGACTCACGTGTCCCTCTGATACTCATCTAGACAGCAGGGGCCACAGCAGTCGGCCAAGTAACAGACCTGCTTCATGCCTACTGCGTGCCAGGGAACGCCGGCTGGGCCGGGCAGTACGGGGCAGGCACTGTGCGCCCTCCCGCTGCCTGCAGCCAGGAGGGGAAGGCAGCCACCAGGGGACACTTAGAATACTTCCCAAATAACTCCAAGACGCGAATGCCGGCACGTGTGGGGAAGCTGTACTGGGTCAGACCTGGTCCCCAGAGGAGAGTGGGGGGTCAGGGAGGTGCCGCTAATGCACATGAGGGCACAGGGGCGCCCTGGTGAGAAGTGCGGCCGGAGGCGGCTGGCTGCGGGGAGGCGGCCCCTCCGCCCAGAGCTCTCACCTTGTCCCGAAGCTCCTCCGCCTGGCGGACCTCCTCCTGCAGGTTGTAGATCTTGTTGACGAGCTCCTGCCGGTCCTCCAGAGCCTCCTTGCGGTCGTGTTCCAGGATGTCCAAGATGGCCTTGTCGGAGTCGGGCAGGCTGCGCTTCCCGGCCTGGGGGGGGAGGGGGCGGAGGTTTAACCACACTGGCTAGGTGGGGCAGGGAGCTGGGTGGACCGGAAAGGCAGGGGACAGCAGAGCCGGCCGCGGGAAATGTGAGCTCAGGAGGCCCTGTGCCAGGAAGGCAGAGAGAGAGTCACTGTCTCCTGGGGAACTTAAGCAGCTTATTATTTAAGAGCTTTATCACCTGGAAAGAAGCATAAACCCCACTTCTGCTCAGGAACATCCCGATGCCTATTGTTCTGTTCTCGCTCTTATCAGAGCCGAGAGGAGCAGTACTGTCCCTCCAGACATTTCACAGGTGACAACAAACACAGGGCTGATCCCCTGTCCAGATGCTTCCCCTGAAATATCAATTAATCTGCTTTGATTAACCCGGGATTCTTTCTCGGCTCCAAATCGGTCACCTCAAACACCAGGCAGCCAATCCCAGGGGAGTAATTCTGGAGGAAGGCGAGGGAAACACATCCCCATAGACATGTTTGGAGCTGTTACCCCTCCACTCCTGCCTCCTTCATACCCGCAAATGATTCCGTCATGAGAAACGCAGGGAGGCACCTGATGTTTTAACGAATCACAGGGAGCTGAAAGTTGGATTTCTTGGGATCTTTAAGGGCCCGGGACAGTGCCTTCCGTGGGGACGTGACTTTCATGCCGTGCCTGAATTACAGAAACGCTGTCACAAGTATTCTCTCACGTGACATCATGTCCCTGAGAAGTGGGTGGTGTGGCTGCCCCACTTTACAGAGGGGGAAGCTGAGGTACCCAGGACGCCACCAAGTGCCTCGGGGCCCTGCGGTCAGCAGTGGGGCTCACGGCCAGGTAGGGCTCGGCCCCTTCCGCCCCTGCACCAGCCCTCACCTGGATGATGGACTGCAGCTCCTGGATCTTGGTCTTCAGCATCTCGTTCTCCCGCTCCAGCTCCAGGACCTGCTCTCTCTTGGGCCGATTCTCGATGTCGTTCTTTAGTTTCAGAGACTGGTTCCTCTCCAGCTTACACTCTTCCTCCATCTTATTCAACCTATGCTTGAGCTGGTCGATCTGAAACACCCGAGGGTGTAACGGGGAGAACGCAGGAAAGGTAGTGCTCCCCTAGATCCCAGCCGACTTCCGCATAACCTGCGTGATGCCCGCCCCACCCCCCTTCATTCCAGGTGGCTACGGATAAGGGCTCAAAGAAACCTTTTCCCGTAAAACAGTGCCATCTCCTTGCCGACGAACAGCTCCTGACCTGCTAATTTAGGATAGTTCTGAAAGGCGCTGTATGTCCCTTAGTGACTTCCCTTGGATAACTCTGTGGGGTGGACTGGACTATAGAACAGGGGACAGGACACCTAAGCCGGTGTGCCCCCTGGGTACAGAATCCACTCCAGTGCCTTCCTTGGTGGCCTTTCAAGTCTGATCCTCAGAACTCAGGGTCTCCCCTCAAGAACCCATGTTATCACAAGGAGGGAGGTGGCCAAGAGCTCAGGGTTCTGGGCCCTGCTGCCCTGACTGTACCCCAGAGCAGCCAGCACAGGGTTGTCCCTGTGGGTTTTCCACAAAATTCTATGTGGACAAACTTTACACTGACGTGAAAAGAACGGCATGAGGTTCTCTGGGTTCACAGAATCTTGGGCCTAAAGGACCCAACTGCAGGGCTGGAAGAGTGGCTTCCTGGAGGAGGTGGTCACTATGTTTGGAAATGGGGCAAGTGGTAACATGTGGAGCTTTACCCCTCGAGAGGTGAGTGTCAGGGAGTGGGACCAGGAGACCTCTCAGACCTTTGTGACTAAGGACGTCTGCTTCCCCAAACTGACTGATCACATAAAACACCCAAATCAAGACGGTTTTCAAGGGTTGCAGGGAACGGAGGGACCAAAGGGGTGAGCACCCTTTTTCAACACAGGCTTATGGGAAGAAGGATTGAAAGACACCTGGCAGGCAGCGGGTGGTGGCTTTAGCAAGTGGGGCCCCCGTGGAAGGGAAGCAAGGAAGGGAGAGGCACACAGGGAAGAGGCCTGGGGGCTCGGGAATGACCTAGGGGCTCTGCTGGCCAGAGGTTCTTTTGCATTCTAGACATGCTTCTCACTATGGCTACATCTCCAAGGAAATACAATACAGGACAAAGTCACAGAAGAGAAACTCATAAGTCGCTGCCATAGATTCATATCTCCAAATCCTAGCTATGACAGCACAGACACCTCCTCTTGGTCACGCAAAAAAAATCCTGCTCAGCATCTTAGAAGGGCAGCCCGAGGGCCCCGTACCGGGTCCTGATTCCCAGTCCCATCTAACTGGGCATGGAGTGCTGGCACAGCGGGATGCTCCCTGGGTCCGACACTTTGCCGGAGACTTATGGTGCTGGGTCTCAGCAATGCTAGCGCACAGGGTTAGTTTTCATTATTGCCATTTACTTTTTTTTTTTTTTAATTTATTTTTGAGAGTCAGAGAGAGATAGCGTGAGCAGGGGAGGGTCAGAGAGAGAGAGATACAGAATCCAAAGACAGGCTCCAGGCTCCAGGCTCCTAGCTGTCAGCACAGAGCCTGATGCGGGGCTCGAACCCATGAACTGTGAGATCATGACCTGAGCTGAAGTCGGGTACTTAACCGACTGAGCCACCCAGGTGCCCTGTCATTATTGCCATTTACAAATGAGGAAACCGAGGCCAAGAGCCAACTCTGTGGCAAAGCCAGAGGCCAGAAGTCAGATTCGAAGTCATATGTACAGGATGTAGAGGCTCATGCTCTTGGCAGAATCGCTCTGCGGCCGGCTACAGCACTGACTCAATTCACCGGAATCCTGGTGCATCGTTTACTGATCTGTCTGCTTCACTGAAATTGTAAGTGACCTGAGCAGAAATCAGGTTATTTATCCCTGTGTCCCCCACAGTGCTTAGCACCGTGCCTTACACATGGCATGTGCTTCATAAATATTCCGAGTCTATTTTCCACCCAGCAGCCAGAGTAATCCTTCTAGATGTAAATCAGTTGTCACTCTTCAGCTCTCAATCCTTCAGTGGCTTCCCATCACTACTGGAGTAAGTTCCAAAGGTCTTACTATGCCCTTACGAGCTGGGCCTTGGCTGTCTCTCTAGGCCACTTGCTTACTTGGCTCCGGCCCCTGCTGGCACTTTCACTGGGTCTCAAAAACACCAAGCAGGCCCCCGACTTGGGGCCTTTCATTTGCTCTTTGCGCATCCTTCCCCCGGGCCTCGCATGGCCGGCTCCCTCTCTGTCCTCAGACCTCTAGTCACACGTTCCCTTCCCAGAGACCCTTCCTGGCCATCCTATTTAAAAGGGCATGCCCCACTCCCTGTCCTCACTCTTTTCTTCCTTCTCTTAATAGCACGTATTACTACCAGGGCTTTATGTATTTGTTTTCTGATTAGCATGTGAGCTCCCCGACAGTAGGACCTTGGCCTTGAGTTATGTATCCTTGGAAAAGAGCCTGGTGCACGGTGGCACTCAATAAATAACAGGGATGAATGAGTTAGGCAAATTCTCCTCTGTTTTGGAGGTAAACTCATTAATGACATCCATCCCACAGCACCATGCTGAGCTCTGTGGAGAGCTGTGAAGACCAGAGTCTTGGTCTTAAAAACGAGCGCTGTGCCTGTCTCCTCACTGATTTTCCTGAGGGCCACGCACAGTCCACGCCACTGGTGTCTCCATCTCTCCCCTCACCTGGCTTTGCACGGGGACTGTGCGCACAGGTCTGTACATGCTCCTGGCGGCTTGTGGGAGGGGTGGGGGATGGGGCCTGAGCAGGGGGTGCGAAGCCCCGCTGGGTCCGTGTGCCCACGTCTGCACATCCGCATAGTGGCGCTGGGCTCTAGACAGTCGCGCTAAGCCTCACTGGGTAGGCCCGCACACGCGCATGGTGTGCCCCCCGCCCGCGAAGAGCAGTGTGCCCTCCAGTCCCCCTCACCCAGCGGGCTGAGCCGCTCTGGGAGCCTGGGTGCGCCTGCCCGCGGGTTGGTGGTCTTGGGCTCCGGGAGCCCCCCGCGCATGCCGCTCACCTCGAGTTGCAGGTCTCGGCTCCTCATGACCGCCATGTTCTTCTCTTCGCTGAGCTGGGCGTAGCGCATGGCCAAGTTGTAGTTGTCGTCCTTCACCTTGACCAGCTCGTCGTTGTAGCTGTCGCGCTCCTCCTTCATCTTGTAGTACCGCTCCTGGAAGGTCAGCAGCTCCACCCGCGTCAGCGTCAGCTGCTTCTTCTCATCCTCCAGCTGGCGTGACTTGGCCAGCAGCTCGCACCGCTGCAGGTCCTTGGCCTTCATCTGCTGCTGCAGCTTGATGACCTCATTCATCAGGAAGTGCGTGAGGCCCTCGTGGCCTTCCTCCACTGCGGGGAGGTGGGGAGAGAGAGTGGGGGTTCTGTTCACTCACTCCCGCTCGGACATTTCACTGAGCTCCTACTACCCGTCAGGCCCCAGGCTCTCGGGTGGAGCAAGACAGCCTCGGTCGGGCCTACAGTCCACAGAAGGAGACAGACACTAAACACGCAGATGATCCGCACAAACAGAACTACAGACGGACAGGATTTTGCAAAGAAAAGGCACAAGGGCTCTGAGGATGGGCAGCAGGGGGCCAGATCCAGCCTGGGGGCCAGAGGGCTTACAAGGCCCCTGATGGTGGAGCTGCAAGGTTGAAGAAGGAAAACATGTTCTAGAACGGTGGGAAAATGCTGCCAAAGCCCTACAGGGAGGAAGGAGGAACTTGGCACATTTCAGAAAACGAAGGCAGACCAAAGTGGCTGGAGTCCGAGAGACGTGTCATGGGGGACTGGGGCTGGTACGGCCATGGCGGGCTGCGCTGAAGACACGTGTCTTTAGTTGGATGTGTGGAAAACCAGGAATGGTTTCCGGAGGGGAGGGCATCATGAGGCGTGGAGAGAGCATGGGGCAGAGCAGGAACGGGTGGAGGGAGCGGTCGGGGTTGGCGTCTGGACTGGGGGGCAGTGGTGGAGATGAAGAGAAGGCTGTGGCAAGAACATTGAGGGAGGGAGGTTCAGATGCGATCACCAAGGGCTCCTGCCCAGGGGTACCGGCCAGACAATAGGCAGGGCAAGGACCGGATCCAGAGGGTAGTGTGAATTTCCCTTCCACCCCACCAGCATTCCTGGGGAATGTTCCATGAACACCCACGTCTCTTGGCTCCCACTTTGGTTTGCCTCTTGTCACTAACCCTTGCTCATCAGGCACAAATGAGTGGTTGACAGCCCACAAGTGCTACAGGGACACTGTCATAACGTCATAGATTCATAGCTTTAGAACTGTCCTACCACTGGACACACACACGCACAGGCGCACACACACACTTCTGCCAGAGTTCAAATACTCCTGATGGCAAACCCTCTTACCCACAATGGTAGAGAATCTCCGGGTGGGCTCCTTTCCGGTCACCAGTTTGTACAGTTCTGGGTAGTAGAATTCCAGGCTCTCCAAGAAGACCACATAGCCCCTTTGGCCCTTCGTATGTAGAATGTCCAATAGTCGGCCTAGGGGAACAGAAACGGACCCAGTGGGAAGACACGTACGTTTCTGGTTGGACGAAGGTCCCCAAAGCCAGTCTTATCCTGGGCTCACATCCCTCAGTAAACTCTAAGAAGACAGTTTTGTCACATCTTGTCACTCTGGAGTTGTATCTGGGAGTCCAGATAACATCCATCAAAGTGCTAGGCCCTCAACAGGGATTCAGCAGCTGTTAGTTTTCCTTTCTCTACGAGATTGGTAGAACTACGATAAATGGAATCACAGTTACGAGAAACCAACGGTTCTGAAGAGCTTCCCCATTGACCGGGGCTAAAATTAACCATATGGGCCTCAGCTCTTCTGTGATTGAAGGAGGCTGAAGTCCAACAGCAATTACAGAATAATGTATGGTTTTCCGAGATGCGGAGCAGGACGACAGATCTGTGGGCGGAGAGCTAGAAGTCACAGGAAGAAGGCACAGCTCCATGATTTGGGGGATCGGGAAACATCTCTAATCTTAATGTAATTTGCCCAGCATTTTCCGTTTCTCTCATACTGATTCCACTCGTCATTTACATTTCTTGGCCCTTCCTCAAACATTTTAGTTTCAGATATTTCTTCCTGGGAGGTCCCCAAACTCTCTACCTTTTCCCCAGGATAGACATAATAAATAAGTTTCATCTTGTGTTAACGGATTGTTTGGCGAAGCTGCCTGGAGCACCGTGTTGAGAGGGATTCTAAAGTGACACCAGAGCTCAGTAGGAGAGCAAGCTGTGATTAGTGATATCTGTCATGTATGCAAAAGAGAGTCACAGCACATGAGCCACTTATCACCAGGCATACTGTGGGGAAGTGAGTGTCAAACCTTTTCAACCGTGAGCCACAGAAAGAAATATATTTTACGTCGTATCCTCGTGCATACAGGCATTTATACACACACATATATATGAAACCCAAACAAGTTTTGCAAACCTTACTTACTACCTTTGAGGAATGTGATAAAGTGTCATGGACCCCTAGACAGTCTTGAAAAGCCTGCGGACCCCTTCTCAGAGCAATATTTTTAAATAGATAAAAAGGAATTGGATGATAAAGGGAATCAATTCTAATAAGATACCGTTATCAAATATCAGATGTGTGATTCAGTAATAAAAGTGCTCCTTTACTAATGCATTAACACCATCTCTTGGCTGATCTAATAACCACTACAATTTTGAGGGCCAGAGGAGTGTAAATGATATTTTGGAAGATCTGTAACAGCTTCAGTGTGGTATGAAGATAACTTTAATTTTTATCGTTGACAGTGTTGCCTGTATTGCTAATCACTATTGTGATTTATCGCCTCCCTACATTCATAATTGATGGAAACACTAAATCTCAGTTTAGGCTAGTAAGATAAAGATGCAACTCTCCCCCCCCACCTCGCCCCGCATCCAAGTTCATGGACCCTCTCAGTTCTACACGTAGAGAGTTCGGTTGGGGGGACGGGGTGGGCAGGTCTGTGGACCCCAGTTTAAAAATTCGTGACCTGGAGAAATTTCCTTTTGGTACAGCCAACTAGAGCGCGTTTCCCGAAGCTGCCATGAGAGGTCGCCCACCCTTTCCCCCTGGGCGTTTGTGAAGGTTACCTGCCCTGTTGATCTTGGATGGCAGCATGGGCGCACTGAGCACTTCGTCTTCATCTTGCTCATCGATGACCTTACACTGGCGCAGGTAGGGGGTGAGCTTGGCTGGGTTGATGTAGCGACTCAACATGTGCCGGTTGCACTCCACATTCTCCCACAGGGCGTCCTCCTCATCCTTCAGGGTCTCCATGTAGTCATCCATCTCTGGCCCTCCTCCTTGTAGACATAAACCCCAACATGGTTAATAAAGGAGCCTCCCTGGACTAGCTCCATGAATTCTGTTAGAGTGATCTCTAGAATACATTGTTGAGTTAAAAAAAAAAGTAGAGGGAAGTACATATGGTATTTTACCTCTTATTTAAGAACGGAAAGAATATGAACATCGACATATTTTTCTTTATAGACTACACATAAACAATAGACAAATAAGCCATAATATTTTTTAAAACTTATTTATGGAGAGAGGGGGAAAATTTTGCAGCTGGAGTATATCCTTTCCATCCAAGAGTTTATATCTAAGAATTTATCTTCTCCCAAGCAATATATACTGTTGCCTTTTGTTTTACAATTTCACATAAAAGACATCATGTTGTATGTTTCCTTCTTGAACTTGCTTTTTTCTCTCTGCCTCTTTTGAGATTTATCTACCTTAATACATACAGATCTAATTCATTTATTTTGTAAAAAAGAAACAGTTTGAGATATGATTCATGTGCCGTACAATTCACCTTTTAAAATCTAAGGTGTGCAATTCAGGAGATTTTAGTGTATTCACAGAGTTCTGTAACCATTCCAGTGAATTTTAGAATATTTTCATCATCAGCCCCGGCAGATACTCCATCTCCCCATTAGCTGTCACCTCCCCCTTTCCCTCCAGCTCCTGCCAGTCCAGCGGGAGGCACCCACTAATCTACTTTCAGTCTCTACAGATTTACCTATTCTGGACATTTCACATGAGTGGAATCACACAGCAGGTGGTCTTCTGTGACTGGGTTCTTTCACTGAGCAGAACGTTTTTAAAAAATTTTTTAATGTTTATTTTAGAGAGAGAGAGAGAGAGAGAGAGACACGTAGCATGAGCAGGGGAGGGGCAGAGAGAGAGAGGGAGACACAGAATCCAAAGCAGGCTCAGGCTCTGAGCCGTCAGCCCAGAGCCAAATGCAGGGCTCGAACTTGTGGACCGTGAGATCATGAACTGAGCCAAAGTCAGACGTCTAACCTACTGAGCCACCCAGGTGCCCTGAGCAGAACGTTTTTACGGTTCATCCACGCTGTGGCATATTTCATACTTCATTTCTTCTTACTGATGAGTCATTTTTCACTGCGTGGCCACATCACATCTTGTTTACCCATTCACTGGTGAATGTTTGGGTGGCTTCTCTTTATTGGCTATTATAAATTATGGTATGAAGGGGGGCGCCTGGGTGGCTTAGTCGGTTAAGCGTCCAACTTTCGCTTAGGTCATGATCTCGCGGTTCGTGGGTTCGAGCCCCGCGTCGGGCTCTGTGCTGGCTGCCAGCTCCGAGCCTGGAGCCTATTTCAGAGTCTGTGTCTCCCTCTCTCTCTGACCCTCCCCTGTTCACGCTGTCTCTCTCTCTCTCTCTCTCCTAGAAATAAATTAAAAAAAAAATAAATTATGTTATGAAGGTCCATGTATGGGGTTTTGTGTAGACCTGTGTTTTTACATACCACGGGCAGATACAGAGCTGTGGGATCACTGAGCCACAAGGAAAGCCCAAGGTTCATGTTCCAAGGAACTGCCAGGGCGCCCGCACCAGTTACATTCCTGCTAGTGGCCCATGTATGAGGTTCTGTCACCCACATCCTTACCAACACTTGTGGTTGTCTGTCTTTTTCCTCCAGCCATCCACGTGGGTAGGAAGTGGTAGTTCAGGGTGGTTTTGATTTGCATTTCTCTAAGGACTGATGACATTGAGCATTTGCATCTTGGCCATTTGTGTCTTCAGAACTTTTGTCCATTTTTAAATTGGGTTGTTTGTCTTTATTATTAAGTGGTAGGAATTCTTAAGTGATCTGCATTAAGTCCCTCATCAGATATATGATTTGTAAGTATTTCTTCCCATTCTGTTGGTTATATTTTGACTTTCTTGAAGGGTTTATTTGCAGCACAAGAGTTTTTAGTTTTGATGTAGCCCAGGTTATTTGGTGTGTATCTAAAAGACCAGTGCCTACCTCAAGGCTAGGAAGAGTTGCTTCTAGTTTTTTCTAAGAGTTTTATCTTTTTAGCTCTTACATTTAGGCCCATGATGCATTTTGAATTAATATCTGTGTATGGAGTGAGGTAAAGTTTCAACTGTGTGTTTTTATTTTAACTTTATTTATTTATTTTGAGAGAGAGGGAAAGCATGAGTCAGGGAGGGGCAGAGAGACAGGGAGACAGAGAATCCCAAGCAAGCTCTGCATGGTCAGCGCAGAGCCTGATGCAGGGCTTGAACTAACGAACCATGAGATCATGACCTGACCTGAAGTTGGACACTTAACCGACTGAGCCACCCAGGTGCCCCTCAACTGTGTTCTTCTATAAGTGGATACTTAGTTGTCTCAGCATAATTTATTGAAAAGATTATTCTTTCCCCATTGAATGGCCTTGGCACCATTGTCAAAAATCAACTTCTTGTGTTTATTTCTGGACTCTCAGTTCTATTATATTGGCCTATATGTCTGTTTACGCCAGCACCACACTATCTTTGTTACTGTGGATGTGTAGTGAGTTTTGAAATTGGGAAGTATGAGTCCTCTGACCTCGCTCCTTCTTTTTAACATTGTTTTGGTTATTCACAGCCCCTTGCAATCCCATATGAATTTAAGGATCAATCTGTCAATACCTGCAAAAAAAAAAGTAGCTAGAATTTTGATACTGAAGCTATTGAAGACGTAGATAAGCTTGGAGAGTATTATTATCTAACCATGTTGTCTTATGATCTGAGAATATGTGGTGTTTTTTCATTTATTCACTTCTTTCATTTCTTCCAGCAATGTTTTATAGTTTTCAGTGAACAAGTCTTGCACATCTTTTGCAAAATGTATTCTGAAATATTTTATTCTTTTTGATGACCTCATAACTGTTTTTGATGAACTGTTCTCTTCATTTCATTTGTGGGATGTTCACTGTTAGCATATAGATATACAATTGATTTTTCTATATTGATCTCTTACTCTGCAAATAATAACCAAAATAATTTCTTAGTTCTAATAGTTTGTTAGTGGATTCTCTATGGTTTTCTCTATATAAGATAATGTCATCTGCAGTTAGAGATAGTTTTCTGTCTTTTCAATCTGGATGCCTTTTATTTCTTTTCCTTGTCTAACTGCCCTAAATCGAACTTCCAGTACAATGTTAAATAGAAGTGGCAAGAATAGACAAACTTGTCTTGTTCTAGATCTTAGGGGAAAAGCATCAATTCTTACATCATTAAGTATAATGCTATTTGGTTGGGGTGTGTGTGTGTGTGTGTGTGTGTGTGTGTGTGGTTTAGATACTCTTTATCAGGGTGGGAAAGATCCCTTACATTCCTGGTTTGTTGAGTTCTTTTGTCACGAAAGGCTATTTGACTTTATCCAGTGCTTTTCCTGCATCCATTAGGATTGCCATGTGGCTTTTAGTTTTGATTCTGTTAATATGGTGTATTACATTAATTGATTTTCAGGTACTAGAGAAACCTTGCATTCTTGATATAAATCCCACTTAGTCATGGTGTGTAATTATTTTTATATGCTGTTGGATTCAATTTTTTGAAGCATATTTTTAAGGATTTTTACATCTATGTTCATGAGAAACATTAATCAGTAACCTTTTTTTGTTACTTGTGATGGTTTTGATATTGGGTTAATGTTGGCCTCATAGAAGAGTTGGGGAATGTTCCCTCATTTTCGGTTCTTTGGAAAAATCTGTGTGAAGCGTTTTCTCTTTCGTTTGGTAGAATTCACCAGGGAGGACATCTGGGTCTAGGATTTTATTTGTAGGCGGGTTTTTGGTTACTAATTCTTCACTTATTATGGGTCTGCTTAGATTTTCTGTTTTCCTTGAGTCATTTTCAGTAGTTTGTGTCTTTGGAGGTGTTTGTCCATTTCATCTGTTGTTTACTTTATTGCAGACAATTGTCCATATTATTCCCTTATAGTACTTTTATTTATGTAAGATTGGTGGTAATGTTCTATCTTTTATTTCTGATTCTACTAATCAGAACTAATAGGGGATGTTTTAACTGACATAGGGGGAACAAAATAAGTACGTATTTTAACTTCTCACTGTCCCTGCCATCGTACTCTGAACCCATGTCTTCTTTCTTCTCAGTCCCTAGTCATGAGAGAGAGAGAGGGGGAGGGAGAGAGAAGGAGAAGGGGGAGGAGAAGGGAGTGAGGAGCAGGGTGGGGGGGAGTCAGGATAAAAGGGAAGAGGGAGGGAAGGTGAAGGGGGATGGAGGGAGGGGAAAGGAGAGAGAGAGAGAGAGCTAGAGAGGGAAAGGGGAGAGAAAGGGGAAAGCTCTCTTTTTTCCTTGGTCAGTCTAGCTAGAGTTTGTCAATTTTGTTGTTATCTCAAAGAACCACCTTTTTACTGGAAACTAAAGTCACATTGTGTGTCAGATATTCTCAAATAAAAAAAATAAACAACAACAACAACAACAAAGAACCAATTTTTGGTTTCACTGCCTTCTCTCTATTGCTTTCCTATTCTCTAAGTTATTTACTTCTGTACTAATCTTTATTATTTCCTTCCTCCTGCTTACTTGGGGTTCAGTTTGCTCTCCTTTTTCTAGTTTCAGAAGGTGCAAAGCTAGGTTACTGACATCTTTTCAAGTAAAAACACTGGGGCTATGAATTTCCCTCCAAAATTGCTGCCTCAGCAGCATCCCTTATACTTTGGTACAGTGCGCTTTTATTTTCCACCTCCAAGTAAGTTGTCTGATTTCTTTTCTGATTCCTTCTTTGACCCACTAGTTATTTAAGAGTGTGCTGTTTATTTCCCCCCCATATTTGTGAAGTCCCCAAATCTCTTCGTTATTTATTTCCAATTTCACGGCACTGTGGCTGGAAAATGTACTCTGTATCATTTCAATCCTCTTAAGCTTGCTGACGCTTGCTGTGTGGACCAGTGTATGATCTTGGACAACGTTCCAGGCACGTGTTCTGTGGCCACCGGGTGGGATGCACCCTGGGTGTTGGTTACATCGAGTTTGTGCATCGGGTTGTTTGAG